CATTCATTCACTGCCTCCTCTTTGACCTGAGAAGTTCCCTGGGTGCCTAGACTTGGGTGGTGTACAAGTTACTGTTAAACGGTCATAAAGTCACCCAAGCATTGACCCATTAAAGGGTGTGAAGCTGTGCTAAGCACCCTCTAAACCTTATTTAAAGTTATGCCAGTTAAGGTGAAGGTTATTGTTGATCTATGAAACGATGATCTGTTTACCCAGTTCATTCCAATGTATTGTTAGTCTACTTGGGAAAGATAAAACACTCTATTTTCCTTCCTCTAGCATCCCAGGATGCACCATTCCCAGCCCTTCCCATTCCTTTGTTCCATGGGTAAACCTTCAACTGCCCCAAACTCTACTGCTAGCCCTAAACCAATGACCCCTTCAAAGGGGTACAACCACAGCACAACCCCAGCACTGTCTGACCACCCAAGTGCAGCTCACCATCCCTGTGAAAACAGCAGCAGTAATCTTACTACCTATATCCCTGAGACGAATAAGCCAGACAACAGAAACCATTCTCAGCTGGGTATCAGCTCTGCCCTGGCACGATAGGCATGTGATAAGCCTGCTAGGTGTTAGTTATGCCCTGCTGTATTAACCCAATCCCCCTGAACCAATCTCCAATTTAAGTGAAACACATGCAAAACATTGGTATTATTATTATACTAGCCAATTGCCTGTGAAAAATGATTCCCTTCCTGCCCCCCCCTCCATCTGCCCCATCACCAGTCATGCCCTCCCCCCTCATCCATCCTGTTGCTGCCGCCTGCAGGGGGGAAGGGGGTGTCCCCAGCAGTGCTGGCCTTGCTCCCCCCACTCCCATCTGTCTGCTGTTTTCATGCCCTGCAAGGGGAGCAGAGCCAGTGCTGCTGGCCTAGCCCCCCTATTCTGTTAGCTTCATGGCCACCGTCTCCAGTGGCACTGGCCCTGCCCCCTCCATCCACTTTGTCACCGCTGCCACCTGCCAGGGGTGTGGGGGTGGGGACAGAGGCCCATGTCTGCACCCCCAGCACTTTGGGGCTGGACCCACTCCCACCACCCTCACCCACCCTAGCTGCTTTGGAGCAGGGGCTGGGGCTGCTCTGCCCACCCCACCCAGGGGGCTGGTGGGAACAGAGCCCAGCATCCAGTCCTGTGGCCCTGTTCCCCTTGTCCAGCTCTGCACAACCCCATTCCCCCACGGGCAGTTTGGGGCTGATTCCCCCCCACCCACCCTCCATTGTGGCAGCCCTGACCCCATTCCCTCACCCCTTCATGCTGCTGCTGCCACTTCCTCCATGGAGCAGGGGGGGCCAGGCCAGCTGTGCTGCCCCCCCCTAACCCCCCCCAGCCCTTCTGTTTGCACCATCATGGAGTCACTCTGCTCCCTGATGTTTGGAATGCTGCAGGAGCACTCTGATTGGCTACCGAGACAGAGTGTAAATAAAGTGTTATGTGCAGACAGACAGACTACAGCTTTATAATATTAGAATATTGTTTTTCACTCCTCCCACTTCACTTCTTCCCCCTATCCACTTACTTCAAACAGGTTATTTATTTTAAGAATTTTATCCTTACCCCTGTAACTCTGGCTGCCTCCTGCTGGCTGTCAAGGGAGGGAAGGAAACCACAGCCCCCATGATGGTTTCTCTGCCTCCAAGCTACATGAGTTGATGAGTCTTCTACCCCAGAGGAGGAATAGAGTCCTGGCCCCTGTTCATACCCCTGGTTGCCTAGTCGTCTAATAGCAAGTCCCAGTTATGCAGATCTGAGATGATATTAAGCCTTAAACCTGTGACTGCTTTGAAACTGTTCTAGCTTTATAACAGTATAACATTCCCCATATTTAAAATATTTTAAAGGTAGCCTGTAACAGCACTTTATCTCCTAATCATTCTCAGAAAATTCATTTTGATTTGTTACACTATATTTTTGGCCCACGTGGAAACACAATAGGTACTTAACTCTGGAAAGCGTAAGTACCTGCAAAGCATGATCTGCTAGGCAACCCACAGAACATGCTGCGTGGATGCTGGCAGAGGTTCAAGCATCACACACTTGGCCATGGTAACTGGACAGTGGGTTTGGGCATCCTAATCAAGTTGGCATCTGTCTTCTGGGCACTTTGAGTCCTGGTTGGATGGAAGCACCAGGTGTGTAGCTCTGAATAAATTCATAAGATCTAAACAGAGGCAGACATTCAGTCCTAGCCAATGCCTTGTATTTCCTATTGGTTAATTCTGGACAACTCCTTGTCAGGACCTCATTGGTCTCAAGGTGCAGACAGAAGTGTAAGTCTTGGGTCTAACTTGTGGCATTTTTACAGAAAGTGTCATCAGTTAGACTGATCCTCTTCACCCAATAGATGTTAGATGTTGGATCAGGAAGGTGGGAGTTTCAGCTCTAATTGGGAGCTGATCCAGGGAGAGAAGCTGCAACTTTGCAGCCTCTGCCCTTAGCTCTGCCCCCTCCACACCCCCACAACTCTTGTGCTGACTTGGGATGGGAGGGGGAGAAGGCAGGAGGGGAGTAAGGTTCATTCTGGGGTTTTCTAAGCTGTGGTGGAGGTGGGGGTGCATTAGAGGCCCCCCCTAAGGTGGGGGGGGCTCCAATCCACCTGTCCCCCACTTCACTCCAGTGCTGCTGGGGAAACCCCAGAATGTACCTCGCTCCCCTGCCTTCTCCTTCTCCCATCCTGAGACAGCACTGGGAGCTGGGCTGTGCTGCAACAGCCCAGCACTGGAGCAGACAGAAGTGAATGAAGGCACTCTGCTTTGGAGCATCTTCATATTTACCTGGCATGGGTAATACCATAACCATGATGGTGGCAGTGGAGGTACCCTGACCAAGGTATACAATTAAAATGGCACTGTGTAGTGGAACGTTGTGCCCTTGTCTACTTGTGGACAGGACTCCCTACAAGAACCTCATAGTTAGCTTTCCACTGGCCAGCTTCCAGTGTGAGGATCTTGGCTACATGCCAACTTTATGGAAATGGAAGACTCCTCCCTAGCTTGCTCCTCCAGCAATACATCTGTGGGCAAGTGAAACATGGGGGCATCCAAACCCCAAGCCTCTGGGCTTGGTCCTGCATGTAGGTTGCCCACCAAAGGATTTGGAAGCATCTGATACCCCAGGTGGGGATGGCAGACAGTTCTTGAATGACTCACAGAATTGGAATTGATTGGCTGATTTGACTTGGGACATGAAAAATTTTCCTTAAAAAATAAAAATGAAATAAATCTTCATTTGAATCCTCGTACAACAAGGGTTAATTTTTTGCATGACTGGAGCACTCTGCAGCTGGGCTCTTCTGATAGGGTACAACTGTAGAGTGCTTTCAAGGGGCTGATCACAGAAATGTAATTTCTGTCTGTACCCACATTGCCTGGGATCATCTAACATTGCTCATTGACAGTATAGGGATCCTTAGATGCTTTACCTTGTTGATTTTTCTGAATCACCTTCACCTAGTTTTTTTAAGCATGCTAAAGCCCAATGGAAGTGCCTACAGGTATGTAGGTATCTGCTTCATAAACAAATTGTCTGTTTGTCACAGTTGCTAAACAACCACAACTATAATTAGAGTCAGATTTTTAAACAATCTGAGTGCTGGAGTTTGTTGAAACTAGATTTTTTAAATGTTGACCTAAGCATTTTTCCTGAGGGGTAAATTCAATCTGAGGAACCTGAAAAGGCAAAACTTCCTAAACTCATTCATATATTTCCTAGATTAGACACAGAAAGGAGACATATCCATACTGGTATAGTCCTTTCTGATGACATTACATAAATACACTTTTCAGTTTCACAGACCTGCAGTATGGTCAGAAACGGTTCTATCCCAGATAGAAGTGTTTGTATGTATAGTATAAACCATTAGTATATAAATACGTACAGCACATTTTTTATCAAAGATACATCTGTATGACTTTGTTGTAGGTATTGATAGATTCTAAATTAGCATGAAATATCCCTATATATGTTTTATTGCATTATCCAAGCTGATCGTTGCTATCACTTGATTTTTTTTCATTTGCTTTGCAATCCTTTGTTATTTCTATTTAAGTAAAATAATGAAGTCTTTGCTGTTGCTGTGGAAGAGCTCCATTTTTTACTTTAACAATGTAGCTTTACTTTGCTGCATGTAATCTAAATAGCTTTCAACTTGGTACCTTTAGAAATCCCATTATTCCATATGAGTGGGTGAAGGCGCTGCCATTGAGGCAGAATTTCTTTAAAAATTGCGTTTTTGTGATTTCTTTTTTAAAGCAGACATTGCCTTCTGGGAGTATAGGATGTATTCAGACACGGAATGGAAATAAGGCAAGACATTCAGAATACACTTAAGCACTTAAGGTGTAGCTTACCTTAACAAAGCCAATTTAAACCTTCAAAAATACTGAGTTGTTTCTTTATTAGGGAATAGATCCACTCAGTAATAGGCTGGGGATACAGAGTCTGGGAAAAAAAAAGCTACTTGCTATTACAGAGTACTCCAGATAAAAGTACTCATCCTATAAAAGTTTCATTTCAGTGATACACAAAGCTATTATATTCCTTCCTTTCTGTTTTGGTACAATTTGCTTTGTATAGTATTACCTACCAACTGTATTCCAAAGTGCTTTCTGGAAGTAATGCAATTACAGAGCTAAAAACAAACAGAAGCAGAGGGAGAGGAATTAGGAAGTGAGATGGGATTTCAGAAGGGATGGAGAGTCGATAAGCCTTGAACACATTGAAAGGTAATTTCAAATAGGATGAGATGTCATACCACAATTGTTCCTTTACAATAGTGTGCCAAAGGATACACTTGCATTAGAGGAGAAAAAAAAAAGGATCAGGAAGTGAGTTAACACAGCTACATTTCTCTGTATTTATCAAGCATTTTTTATCTTGGTACCAAGTATTAAGATGCATTTTGAGGAAGCCTGGAACAAATGTCTAGAAGGTTTTATAAACAACATGCACATACCTCTAAATCTTCTTCTTTTTTTTCTGGTTTTTTTTTTTTTTTTTAGGGCTTTTTAGATTTAGAAACCTGGTTTCTATTGAATTCACTGAACTTACCCTGTCACACTCTCAAGGAGATTCAAAGAAGGACTGCTACTGGTTCCTGAGGTAACCATCAGCCAGAAAATATATACATTAGTAACTTATGTATTTGCTCAGGTCTTGGATTTACTCTTACAGTGGCTCTTAGAATAGGCACATTCAGCCTACGTACAGATATTCAAAGAGCCGAAGGCAGAATTGATCTAAGTTATGCATTTTTTTTGTAAGCAGTGTTTTTCAGATCAGTAGTGAACAGGAAACGTTTGTCCTTTGTGAACAAATCTTGGAATTGGCTCCACCAGTTTTAAATCAGTCTGTGCACCAAACTTCCATTCTGTTATGGGTATAGACTGGTTTCCAATCACTTAGACATCACACTTTTACAGGTATGTACCTGGTTTCAAGGAACAGAAGAAAACCACCTAGAAAAAGATATAACAGAAGGTTGTGTGCCAGGAAAAAATGTGGATGGACCAAGGAAAAAGATGGTACAAAGACACAGGACTAGACCAGATTACCTATAAATAGTGGCAAGGCAAACTATTTATAGAGCCAAGTGGAGAGTATTTATCCATTATGTTGCTGACCCTGTTGATGAGGATGGCACTTGACTGTGTGTGATTTTTATGGAGCAAAGATTCTGTTATGAAGTTTTTATTTTTAATTTCTGTCTATTGTTTTATGGCTGTTTTATCTCAGCCCCTCGTACACATTGTTTTTTGTATGTTTTCACATGCTTGCTGTTATTATAACCATAATGTTCATAGATTTAGGGCCATAAGGAGCCAATATAATTTGTTTAGCACAGTCCACATACCCTCACTTAATTCCTGCATTAAACCCATTGCTCCTGCTTGAGTCCTAGCTTGTCTGTCAAAGATGTTTACTTTTATTGGATATGATGGAGTGTCTATAACGTTGTTGGATAGCCAGTGGAACAACTTAATTACAAGGTTAAATATATATATTTTTTATTCTTAGGTTGAATTCTTCTAGCTTCAGCATCCAACCACTAAATCTCATTATACCTGTTTCTTTAGATATTATATTATCAAGTATTTGTAGATCATGATTAAGCTATCCTTTAATATCATGAATAAATGAACTAGATAAAGGTTTTTCTCAAGTGTCTTTCTTCCTGAAGTACTTGTCTATCTTGAGAGTTGGAAATTATAACCTCAGTTCTATTCACAAACAAAAAACAGAACTATAAAGATACGCACGTACAGTTACGAAAACAAAGATATACTGATAAGACTGTATATGTTTCTATTAAAACAAACTATGACTTGTTGTGATAAATCATGTTGTAAATTTAAATTCTGGCTTTGTTTGATGTGTTTTTTGTTTTTTTTTAATTTAAAGAAACACCAAGATTCATGTGGCAATTTTATATATTGTTTTCCTTGTCCTGACTGTAGGTTTTTTTGTTGCATGGACCTTATCTTTCTCTATAAATGGAGAAAAGGACCAATGCATACGTCAGTGAAGCTTCTCCTCCAATGAACAAATTAATATTTGTTAATTAAAAAAGCAAAACAAAACACATTTCTCTTTGATACCTAAAAACTGAGGGTCTTCCCAAAGATCTGCCTATGTATTTATCCTCTCTGTAGCTTAATTTTGTTCCTACTTGTTATTTCTTCTCTGAAGACCATGATGACCTGTGTACCTCTTTCCTTTCCTGTGCTACTTCCGTACTTCTGCAAATATCCAAATTTTATACGAGGATTTTAACTGCTTGTATTCTAGGAGCTGCAAACTATGCATCTGCTGTCAACAATAAATCTGGCATAGCACTTTATATGCATGCAGTTGCAAATTCATGATATGGGGAGCCACACAGTTTGAATGCTATACTACATTTACTTTGCATATTCCCTGCATGTGTGCCCCCTTTGCCCCCAGACACGTACACATGTTTCTGTATTCATAAGCTACTCTCCTCTTCTAGAAATGGCAGAAAAGCTTAGTCTCCTTTTTGTTTTAGAACAGTAGCAGCACAGATAACATTGACCCATTAGACAACCAGTGATGGGAGCAACACCCTCTACCATATCTTCATCCTGTGTTTGGGTGGTATTATTGCATGCCACTTCCTATTTGCAAAAATTGCTTCAGTGATTATTCTCAATTCATGTATTCAAGCTTTTTTTTTTCTCTTTAAATCGTATGTGAGAGACTTATTTTAAAATTAAATGTAAAATTTAGATTTAAATGCACGATTGTGGTATGTAGACTACCTTCACGTATGATCTGAGAGATTCTCCTGGTTTGTTCTCTTGGTAGAAAACCTTACCCAGAGATGCCTGAACAGACATTCAAATGCTGAGTCCCTGAAGAGCAGATAGCTTGCAGTGCTGATGTTGTGCAGCCAGGAGTTCCTTGCGTATGTGCTCTGCAGGTTCCTTTATTAGGGTTACCATATGTCTGGGTTTTCCCAGACATAACCTCTTTTTGGATCCTCCAATCTCCATCTGGGCATTTAAAAAACAAACAAACAAAAAAAGATCAAATATCTTAGATTTTGTTTAGCTCAGCATTGAAGATTTTCCCAGCACTTCCTGGCTTGCCTTAGTAAGGAGCTGCTTGGGGCTGGGGGGAGGGGAAGGAGGGTGATTTGAGGCAGGGCACATATGCATGTGGCCAGCAGGCAGCCAGGGAGGGTGGTGGGATCAGCCCCTGCAGCTGGATGCAGATATGTCTGTGGGGGTTGGAGGGCCAGGGCTTGAGGACTGTCCAGGGACCTGGAGGACAGGGGTGGGTGTGTGTGTGTGGAGGAGCTGGGGATATGAGGATTATTGGTTGCTGAAGGACTGTGTTGTGACTTCTCTCAGAAAAGAACATGTACAGATATTTGCTTTCTCAGGAGAAACTCTCCTGAGAGTGATTTAACCCTAGTTGTTTCTGGGGTAATATTTTTTTTTTTCCTGGAGTGGTCATTTTTCTCTGGGAGAAAAATTCTGAACCTCTGTACACCCATGGTTTCTAGGAGAGCAAAACCCTCCCAGAAGAAACTGAATGTCTGTACGTAGCTTATCTAGGTCTAGTGTTGCTGAATCGTAGCTTGGTTATGAACAGATAGCAAGATAGACTGTTGCAGATGCATGCATAACTGCTCAGCCCAGATCTACATAGATCACTTGTAAAAGTGAGAAAAATGTAGTTCTTGACCTCTCTCCTGAGATTGTCACAAATGTCTGTTTTAATACTTATTTTAGGTGACTTAGACATCTATTTTCTAAAACCTGAACTTAGGCCACCCACTTGTTCCACACAGAATTGTTGTACCATGTGATAATGACTTCTGCTGAAGGGTGGTAGATATGAAATAGTGACCCAGAGGTGAAAAGGCTCCATAGTCAATTATCAGGAGTCTTGGACATCAAGTCTCTGCTCTGTAGTTAATTTATTAACTTCTACCTTCGCCTCTGTAATGCTTGCACAGTTATATTTATGGTTTTACCACATGGCTGGCTTTTCTTTAAGCTCCAGAACTTTGAAATAAATTTATTTTGATATCCACTTATGCTGCATAAAGGAACTTGCTGAATAATACTGAACTCACTGAAATAGTGAGGTCTTTATTTCATTTTAAGGAAAAGTCCCTCTCTACAATAGAGATGGTTTTATAAAATGTGTAGGTTAATGATTGTTTTGTAAGTTAAATACTGCAGTTGACAGTAAACCCATCTATGCCTTACTTCTGTTAGGTTTGTATAAAGTAGGGTCATTTGCAATTTATAAGCTAAGTAGATTATATGTAGGTACATATGTACCATAAGCTTTCAGGAGCTGGAGCTCACTTCATCAGAGGGTATGAATGAGTGTGCTCAGAGCAGTGTATAGAATGGAAAGATTCATTTGAATACAAAAGGAAGGAAGGGAGGGAGAGGAAGGCTAGAGAAAGATGAGGAAGGAAGGATGCCACCTGCTTGCTGTCTACATTTGGACAGATGGGGAGATCCCCAAGTGTAAGAATGAACGAGCAGTGATCGGACATCACTTCCAGAAAGATACAGAGGAGTGTGACAGAATACTTTAACTTCCCTGGACAGGATAACTGTCCTTAGGCAGCAAAACATTTAAAAACAGGCTTGAGTGGGAAATTGCAAACCAAGAAATCATTCCAACTGGATTGTGTTAAATATGGTTTAAACAGGGACTCTGGCTTTTTATCCTATTACCTGGATTAGCTTTTGCCACCTCTTTTTCTCTATTGCCTCTTGCTTGTTTGCCTCTCCCAGCACTGCTCCCCTCCTTCCTCTTCCCCTCACTTTCTGCCTTTTGTATTCAAATTTCTCTCTCCATTTGATACACTACTTTGTGTGTCCTTTCACAGCATCTGTTGATGTGAGCTCCAGCTCATGAAACCTTGGACTATATTTATCTCTAATTTAGTTAGTATATAAGGTGTAAATCTACCCTGCCTTCTGCTTCACTTCAGATGAACATGGCTTCCTGCAACTTTCAGATCTGTGCAAATCACAGTTTGAAATTACTGTGAAACACCCTGAACCAAATTGTAACCCAAGATGCTGAAGCTGAGTCAGGTATATAAAAAAAATATACAAAGTGACTTAAAATGTTTTTGAGGCTACCAAAAAGTAATGTCAGCACATTTTCTTTGATTTGTTTTATTCATGGATAGTAACTAAACCTTAGTAAAATGTTCAGCAAGTCTGCATTCTCTTAGCAGAATGCAACAAAGTTCAATTATATTTCCTATCCCTACTCATTGAATGGAAAATATAACTCATTATGAAACTGGTGAATATAGATAGGAATTTTCAAAGCTGGGTGCCTGAGTTCTTTGAAAATTCAATTGTAGTTGTAGCCCTAACTCCATATGTATATTTGAAATTCCCAGCTATGGGTCCTTCCACTAGAGTACCTCATAAGACCTTATTCAAAGAATAAAGTAAATAGTGCAACATGGTCTTCTACAGAGGTGTTACATACATGACTTCAATATGGGGATTACAATACACACTGAAGTGATTTGGGAGAATTCTCCTGAGTTTGTTTTTCCTGGTAGAGAAAACTTGCCTAGAGATGCCTGAACAGACATTCAGCCCTGAATGACGGATATTGAGCCCCTGAAGAACTGAGAGCTTGCAGTGCTGACACTATATCCGGGGGGGGGGGGGGGGGGGGGGGGGGCGCCCCACGGGGAGGGAGGCTATGCCCACATCTCAGCATGCTTTGTAGGCTCCCTCAGTATGACCAGAGACAGAAGGCAGCAGTGCACAGTGTAGCCCTGACTGTGCAAAAGGGACACACAGACTGAGGCTGAGCAGCCAATGTGATTGTGAAGAGGGTGCATTCTGTTTCCTGCTTGGTTACAGCAGTAGAATCCAGCAGGCAGCACACTGCCTCCTTGTGGGGAAAGAGGGCTGGGAGGAAAGCACCCTGGGATGATGGAGGACTATATTGTGGTTTCTCTCAGAAGACAATATGTACAGG